TCCACACGGTCTCTTTTCCTCCTCCCTAGGTTATTTCAGGTGATCTGTACACTTCACACTGCTCACCTCTCAGCCAATCTTCTCCACCCCAACATCACAGCCAGTGAGAACAACATTCCATCCAGTCTGACACCTCCTGTACCACTCCACCGCAGGGCAACTGTGCTTTCCCTGGTACCTGACTCTCTGCACTGACCGCTTAGAGCCCCTGAACCATCTCTGCCCCCACCTCCGCCACAGGGGAAAGGTTCCTCCCAGGAGTTCCAGCCTACAAACCTCTGCACTGCCCTGGTTTAGGCAAGCAGACCCTGTGCTCCTAGGATCTCGCTTTTCACCAGCACTTTTCACCCTCACTCAGAAAGCGGAGACAAGTTAAAACTGCTTCGATGCCGTCATCCTGTACGCTTTCCTCCTCTCGCTGCTTTTGCAGCAGGTATTCCCAGGGCACCCAACCCCATTGGGAACATAGCGTACCTCGCAACACTTCGCCCGGACCAGCCGTCTCAGCCAGCAGGGTCAGCAAGGATTTGGAAAATCTGATCTCACGTGTTTAAATTTTAAAAAATCCTCTTCTTATGTAATTGAGCGAACGAGAGCTTCAGGGACTGTGAAGCACTACTGGCATGGCCTGCAGTTAACGCAAGTAGTGACAAGAAACCCCCCATCCGTTGGAAATATTCCTCCCATCCTGGGCATAGAGTCCGGCGCACAAGAATGCGGTACTGGAAACGGAAAGGAGGTCAGCTACCCTGGATGCTTTACTTCCTCACTCATTTTAAAACTAGTGGAATCTCCCCAATTAAATCTCTGCGAGCGAATCTACCTTTTGCTGCCCCATGGTCACAAATGTTTCTTTCGCTCTGGACTGCACTCTCCATGCTTCGACCTTTACGCGTGTTAGCTGGGTGTGTTTTTCCATTTGTCTTTACCCTCCTAAGGCTTTCAGCTGGAAGATGTATTTACAGTGTAAACGTAACAGGACCTGACACACAACCGCAGATAATTAAACGTAACAGCCCTCTAGTTAATAGCCAGGAGCGGCTGTGTTCCATCAGTTAGCTACGTGGAGAATACTGTGTGCTGTATTTGACACATTAATGAATGTAAAGTGTTGCTTGTATTTATTATTCCCAGGTGCTCCACAGCTAAACAAGAAATATGTAACCAGCTTTTGGGGGCTACTTTGGAGAGGTGCTTTTCAGTGGTGCTATAATTTATACCCAGGGGACTCCAGGGTAGCCTGAAACTTGTCAGTCACGGGCAGATAGTTTTTTCTAAGAACATACCTGAGTCCTTAGTTATCTCTGTTCCTCCCATCGTCCCTCTCTTTTTCCCACCCTGTATCCTCCCCCTTCCCACAGCACAAGGATCATAAACTTTTCCAAATATGCTTGTTCTTTTTTTCCCCTTCTTTTTAGGCCTGTTACTGAATCGAAGGGACCCAAAGCCTGTGCTGCCCCTGCTAGGACTTGGAAGTTATTAGGAAAATAAAATGATGCTAGAAAAGGGGTGTGGCTGATGAGATTTTATCAACTATTTCTTGGTGTGCCAAGGTGGGTGAGGTAATGTCTGTTATTGGACCAGAAGATGGTCCAATAAAAGAGATTGCCTCGCACACCTTGTGTGTCTCATATCCTGGGACCCTGTATACATACTTCTGTGGGACTGGGCGTGTAATGCAAGTGCCTGCTTGTAGGGATGGTATAAGCTACACATGGATAGCTCAGCTCAGATGCAGTGTCTGGTTCTAAGTGTCATTTCTACTTGGGACTTGACAGAGGTCAGAGGGAGTGAGTCCAATATTCCATGTCTCTTTCAGCAAACAACAAGCTTATGCAGCCCTCGTTACATATAGCAAGGGACAAATGTGCTGATACCGACCGTCCAGTTTAAATGCCTAAAGACGCAGGGCCATGGTGGATTTTTCTCTTGATGCACATGGTTAAGGCGGGTGGGAGGGTGCAGAGCGTAATGTGAACAACAGAGTTTTCAGAGGTGTTTTACGCATAGGCCAGTGGGCAATGCGGAATTTGCTGTCTCTTCTCCCTACAAGTTGGAACCTCTTCCCCCCCCCCCCTTTGATTCCTGCTCTTATGCTAGAAGTAAGAAAAGCACCACTTGGTGAAACTCCCTAAGCAGAAAATCCTCTCTCCAGTGCCCGGTGCTCATGCAGATGATGCAGATCTGATGGGCAGCCATCAGTGGAGCCTCTTTGGCCAGGTAGGGCACGTTTGCTGTGCTGCTTTCTTGTAGGTGGGGAGTGGCAGGCGTATATTCATGATTACAGACCCACCAGTCCATCCTTCCCCACAACTCCTATGCAGCAGCCTGGAATGATTCTTCATGGAGCCCAGGTCCATGGTAGATGTGGAGAGGACACAAGCTGAGTGGCACTTCTGGCTCTCTGAGCCTTTGGCGTGGGGCCAGATGCCCCTAAAATCTGATCGAGTTTTGGGGCAGATAGTTTGGGTATCGTCAGAATCCCGGGGAGCACACAGGGAACACTGGCACCAAGCCACGGGATTTGCACACATTGGTTTGCTACCCTGTGCCCCCTCTTCGTGTTGATTTCTGGACTCCTACAGCTGCCCTCTGTGGTGGCTGTGAACCAGGAATTACCTCTCTGTCTGTACCAGTGTGGTTTACTAATGCGGCACCTTGAGACACTTTGTTCCTCACAAAAAGCAAATTTACCAGCCAAATGAACTTGCGTGTGAATTTTTGCACTCAACATCAATGGACTTACAACTTTCATAAAGCTGTGTGTGTGTGTGTGTGTGTGTGTGTGTGTGTGTGTTCGTTCGGTGCTCACGAGCATTTATCCTGAGGAGAGCCGATAGCGCTGTACTCCAACCCCATCCCAGGTCACTCGGGAACCCGGTGGCCCCACTTTGAGCAGCCCTGTGGACTCTGGAACAACAGTCCATAGATTCCCAGGCCAGAATGCACTATTGTGATCAATGTATAAGACAGGTCAGAGACCTGCCCCAAAGCAATTCCCAGAGCAGATTTTAGAAAAACGTCCAAGCCAGCACTTGGCAGCTTTCAGAGTGTGTGTGTGTGTGTGTGTGTGTGTGTGTGTGTGTGTGTGTGTGTGTAGGTAGGTTGATTGCAAAGTGTCTTTGCACCCGAACCCCCTAAATTGCACATGGCTCCGAGCACCCACTCTCAAGGGCTGGTCCCTCAGTTGCTGTAATTCCTCATAGCTCCACTGCCTGAGGGGCTAACCCTATGCCTTTTGCCACTCATGTTTGCTACGACAGCAAGTGGATGGGGGGGATTGACTGCATCAGGGAATGGAGGATTGGCTACCAAAGGGGTGTGAAGTTTAAGGAATGTAACTTTATAATATATCCAGGTGAGTAGACCAATCTCGTGACCACAGGATCTAAATGGCTCCTGTGAGTTAAAAGATGCAAAACCATGACAGATGCAATTCCTAGAGCCCAACTCAAATGAAAAGAAAAATTGAGATCCAGATAAAAGAGAGGTTTTCAGATAAATTTATAACGGTCTGAATTTTGCTACTGAAGTGGCCTTAAGTTGACCACTTAAGTGATCTGGTTTTGCCACTTAATTGAAAATTGCAACTTCGGCTGTCCGGATTCGCCACTTATGCACTGTGGTCCTCTTAAGTAGAACTCTTAAGTAGCTGAGACCACTTAAATGGCATAATTATTCAATAAACCTCTGTTCAAACCATTACAACATATCTCTTCCTCTCTCTCTTTTTTAAACCACTTCTTTCAAACAAACAATTTGCATCCTGAAAACAAACTAGAGTCAGCAATGGTATTCCAGACCATTATAACTAGTTTTCAATTCAATTTTTATTTTTTTTATCATTTCTATGGAGAATATCGATGTTTATTTTTAAACATTTTTTTCTGATTTTTATCAATTTAAATTTTCACAGTTGTGGGAAATTATGGCGGAGCAGACAAGAATTATTTAATTGACAGTAGACGTTGAGATTCAAAAAGTTAGTTTTATAATCGTTCAAACACAAGGTTAACATCACACGTCAAAGTATACAAAGTAAATATCTTTAAATCAAGCTCTTAAGTTCTCAAGCAGCGTTTTTCTTTCTTGCCTAGCAGTGAATTTCGATCATCGGTGGAAATATTTGTTGGTTGGTTTGTGTGTGTACAGAGAAATTGACATCTACTAACATTGACCAGTCCAATCCTCCCACCCTAACTATGGCAGCCGAGGAAAAATAAGTGGCACAAGGGGCAGAGTTCAGGGAGAGCAGATCACCTGGTGAGAGAGATGCAAATCTCACTTACATGGAAACTCCATGCAAACTCCAGATCATTTCGGCTGGGACTTTTCATATTACGAAGCAAACCTGAGGCCACATAAACGGTAAACTCCAGAGAAGAAATGCAATAAACCTCTCCCTTTTTATTCAACAGTCTGTTTTATACAGATTGCATGGACTAAAGAGCTCCAGTTTAAAAAAAAAAAACCAAAAGCAGCAGCAATGGAGGGGGAGTTAGTGATCCAGACAGGTAGAGCCGGATGTCAGAACCTGCCCAGGGCTGTACCTGGCAAGCAAAAAAATATTTGAGGCAAAAATCCAGACCACTCCAGCTGAAAACCTCCCCCTCTTACATTCTCTCACTTGCTGTCTCTGTAACTCTTGTTTGTTTGTTTTTTTACTAAAGTGCACATTTGAGGAAATAATTTATATGAAAGATCCTGCACAAAATAGAGGGAGATTATTATTTAACTGAGATGTACCACTTGTACGTCTGAGTCCCTGCTATCTACCAGAGATTTGTTTGCCAGTAACTGGTAACTACCAGACAGGTCCGGCTCCAGCATTTCTGCCACCCCAAGCAAAACAAAAAACAAAAAAAACTCGCAATTGGAGGCAGCAATTGGGGAAAAAAAAAAGAAAAAGCCGCGATCGGCGGCGGAAGTTCAGCGGCAGGTCCTTCGCTCCTGGAGCAAGTGAGGGACCTGCTGCCCCCAAATTGCCGCAGGTGCCGCCCCTCTCCTTTGCCGCCCCAAGCACCTGCTTGTTAAGCTGGTGCCTGGAGCCGGCCCTGCTACCAGAACATATTTTCGGTTAAGTTCTAGTTCAAAAGACTCCCTGAATTCTTAAAGTGTAAACAGAGTTGACAAATGAAGCAAACTCCAGCTGTGATTCTCAGGCCAGCTGTGTGTGCAGGTCTGAGCCTATGGCTCCAGCCTGCAACGAGTTACACCTGATCTTCTAGTTTCACTTTCAGAAGTAGGAAGTTCTCAGGTAAAGGCAGCACAGGCACCTGTTCCAGCACTGAGCTAGCATCACACGCCCCTGAGCGTTGATGTGCAGGGCTCGGGACTGAAGACATGGGACTGAAAGTCCCCGCTTTGCTGTGGAGAAATTCTATGGCATAGCAGCCCCACGCTTGGACACAGCTTTGTTTGGAACAGGGATGGAACAACATGTCAGGAAGCGCTTGACCTTCCTGACCTCCGTCTGGAACAAACTCTGGCCAAACACCGTCTCTGCTGACAGGCCCTCGCAGGGGTATTTTGATCCTGATCCTGTCGCCCTGCGGCCAGACCTAGAGCCGGATCCTGTCCTCCCCAGTGCCTCTCTCTTTAGTGCGCTGTATGATTTCAGAGCCAGGAGTGCAGAGGAGCTGAGCGTCAGCCGAGGAGACAAACTCTGCGTCCTCAAAGAAGAGGGGGAATATGTCTTAGCCAGGAAGCTTAAGGGGGAACCAGCGCTGGGCTACATCCCTGCTAATTACGTGGCAAGGATCAACGAGGAAACCTCCCACCAGCCGTAAGTATCTGAATCCCAGCTCTTCACTGTGGCTTGTGTGGGGATACTCTTTTGTAAGTGGAGCACAAAGCGGGGGGAACTACTGCAAGCTGGATCTCACGGCACCAGTGCTATATATTGGTCTAAGGCCCTGCAGAACTGGGCACCGGGAGCTCTCCTCCCAGCTAGGGACAACAGCTGGGTCTGCTGCCTCTACATTGAGGCTGTCCCCGGTCAGCTCGAATTGCAGCATTGTCTTGTCTCTCTTTTCTTTGTAATTTGCATTTGGTATTGTCGTCAGTCAGGGCCTAAGGCACACCATTGTTATTGGGCTGGGGGGTGGAACCGGCGCATCGCACAGTTCTGGGCCAGGGCAGAGAGACGTCTGAGCTGTTTGTAGAGCAGCTACCACAACAGGGTCCTGCTCCAGGCCGGGGGCTCCGAGGTGCTCTGGTAATACAAGTAATAACGTTCCCTGGCAGGTGGCAGCCAAAGGCCTGCTCCACTCACAGGTTCTGTACTAGTGTTGCTTTGTCGGTTAGGGTGTGATTTTTTTTTTTTTAACTGAAATAGTGATGCTGGTAAACCCCCCTGCCTGGACACATCGATACCAGTCTGAAGGGGTCTTGTCCCAGGTAGAGCTATTCCCCTTCCTGTTTGAGAATACACTGTACCAGGATACATCACCTTTCTAGTGGTATAGCTGCCCTTTAGACCACGGGGCTTAGACCGGTTTGATAAAGCAATGCCACGGGTGTGTGTGTACACAAGGCTTTTAATCCCTTTTTGTGCTGCATCTGTCCCCAAAACCGCCGCTTGTCCGCTTCTCCCAGACGGGGGGGAACAGGCCAGGGGGGCTGAGGCTGAGCGGACAGCTGTGGCAAGGTTGGCAGAGGGAGGCAGCTGCCATGCTGAACTCCCGAGCCTCACCAGACAAAACCCCTGTTTCGGCACAGCCAGGGGCCAGTCGAGTTCTCCAACTCAGGGGCTGGCACAAGGGGGCACTGTAGGAGCTCGGCACAAGGGGAGGATGTTGTGGAGTTCCAGCAACACCCCGCTACCCCCACAACAACTCCCCATCGATACCTTCGCAGCAGCTGATTTTAAATTTAGAACATTCACCTCTTCCTGCCCAGTGGGCACATGAGTTTACTATTATATAAGGCAGCGTTTCTTTCCCCACTCACAATAATCCAGTTCCAACATGCTTTGTGAAGTACACCTGAGACACTTCCGTTCTCCCAGTCTCAGGCCCGTGAGTCAGTCAGTATCATTAGCATATTACACACACGCTGGAAGCAAGCATTGTGAAAACTCCTAGTGAACTCCCAGTAAAAGTTTCTCCTCCGGTCTTTCAAGTCTATTCAGGTGGTATCTGAGCTCTTACTTATCTTCCTGAATATGGAATCAAAGGGGTGGAGGATGGAATGTGGATGACAGCATCCAGGACACACCACAGTCAGTTTTCAAAGTGAAATCACTTTGCATTTTAAAATAAATAGGTTTCCATTCCATTTCTCCATCTCATTAAGATCAAATAGACAGGACGCCGACAAAACAAATGGTTGTGTGGTACAGCCAGAATCTATGTTTTTCAGCACCGATAAAATAGTTTGACTTAATCAAGCTCCAGATAGAGCTGAGCAAGCAGTTTGGGGGCTGAACTGAAAAATACAAGGAAAAATTGATTTTTTGGGGAGGGTTTTTATCAAAATGAAAAAATAATTGCAGGTTGGAGGGATCCACATTTTCTAAACAATTTTCTAAACAAACCAGTGTGCCATTTTTGAATTTTTTCCCAAAAATCTTTTTTTTTCCCAGCCCACACTGTCCACCAGATTCAATCTGAATTCACAGGTAGGGTTGGTCACCCCAAAACTGCATTTTTCAGTGAATTTAGTAATTGCCAAAAAATAAAAATTCCTCCAACTCTCCACACAACCCATGCAAGCCCTAGTATCAATGGCAGGGTGGGCATTGTACCAGTAGTCATCAGTATATACCGATGCCTGTCATATGCCAGGGGCACGACCCTTGTGTAGTCCTGACCCTCATCCACTGATTGGGGCTGGGTCAGTCTCTTCCCAGCACACCTGTGTTTCACACCTGTATTACAGGTGACATGGGGGGTAAAGGAACCCACCTTTTCTTGCTGGTGGTATCAAACCTCACTTTCGATCCGGAGTGACAATGTTTGGTGGTAGTGCTTGTGTAGAGCATAAACCCACAGTGCAGTTTAGTTGTTATGACTGGCAACGCACCAGGACAGCAGAAGGCAAGTCCAGGCAAAGCTTCATTGACAAATTCATTCATGGGCCCCATGAATGAGAATAGCTGATTTAGAATAATTCCAGGAGAGGAGTGAAAGTCACTAGTACTCCTATGTGGAAGAAATTGATCCTGCACCTGTGGAGTGTACTTGGCTTCATTGATGCTATACATTCCTCACTTTCATGCCTCACCAATATATAGTTTCTTTAATAATCTGCAGCCAGCAATAATCAGTGTGGCAGAAAGAAATTAGTGGGGCCTATGCAGCAGGCTCCCGATTTCTGAAAAACGGCTTCTGAGTTTGTTACCGAATAGTATCGTGAGTGCAGTTTTGCAGGAGCAAAGAATCTGATCTCACTAAGTCATCCAACTCGCTGGCTGCGCCCACACAGCACCTGGCAGAGTGAGAATTTCAGAAGCAGTAACTTAGCTGACTGAAATCCAGGGGCGCCTCCGTGGCAGAAGCTTTGCGCCTCCGCTGAATGTTTTTTGAGACTCCCACCTACGTATCCAAGTATTCTCAAATACACCTGCAATTGTTTGCACCCCACCACCTGCCCCTGGTTATCTGGGGGTGCAAGATTGATGGCTGAGTTGAGGCCCATAGATAGGGCCCTACCAAATTCACGGTCCATTTAGTCCATTTCACGGTCATAGGATTTTAAAAATAGTAAATTTCATGATCTCAGCTATTTACATTTCAGATACTGCTCCCCTTACTTCTGGCCTGCTGCTGGTGGCGGTGCTGCCTTCAGAGTTGGGCAGCTGGAGAACGGCGGCTGCTGGCCGGGGGCCCAGCTCTGAAGGCAGAGCCACCGCCAACAGCAGCAGAGAAGTACGGATGGCATGGTATGGTATCGCCACCCTTCTGCACTGCCACTGGCAGGACGCTGCCTTCAGAGCTGGGCACCTGGCCACTAGCTACCACTCTCCAGCCACCAGCCGCTGCTTTCTGGCCTCCCAGCTCTGGAGGCAGTGCAGAAGTAAGGGAGGCAATACCACGACCCCTCTAAAATAACCTTGGGATCCCCCCTGCAACTCCCTTTTGGGTCAGGACTCCCAATTTGAGAAATGCGGGTCTCCCCCGTGAAATCTGTAAGCACTCAAAAGACTATATTTCGTGGTGGGAGACCAGATTTCATGGTCTTGACGCGTTTTTCATGGCTATAAATTTGGTAGGGCCCTACCCATATACCAATCAAGGCCAAGGATTCTTTTCAGATTCAGTCATTTTATTTTCAGGAACTGCAGCGATGCATTGCTATTCACAGGACAGTAGCTTCTTGCCGCCCTCACCTGTGGTCAGGTCCCCCTTGTGCGAGGGGATGCCCCTGCACGCAGGCATGACGCGGTCCCTCTCTGCGGCTTGCAAGCTAACTAAACGCGAAAGATAAATTGTGGGAGGGAAAACTGAAGGGAAGTGACTAGCCCAAGCAATAGAGCCAGGAATTGGCCCTGGGCTGGTGTCCTAGCCGTTAGCCCACATTGCCTGCTATTTTGGAAAATAAAAGTTAGAGGCTTATCCAGAGGGGTGTGATTTTGGAATGGAAACACCAACCTGGTTGTAAGGGCGACTGTAGATAAATCGGGTTCTGCCCCAGCCAGTAGGTAGCCAGGATTTCCCCCAGCTGGCTAGAATGCTGAGGGCAAGACTGCGGCCCGAGGGAGATAAGCCTTTCACCCAGGTGTAACACAACGGCTGGAAGGCCAGGGTCTGTGGACGAGCCTCCTGCTCACAGCAGTGTGTGCACTTTACACCCTCCTACGCAGCCCGGCAGTGGGTTGTCTTCACCTGCGGCCTGCCTGTGATGCTGTGATTCTGCTCCCATCGCAGGCAGGGGTCTTGATGGCACCGCCTGGCCCCAGGCCTGGCAACCTACATTCATTTTTCGTTGACGGGGGTGAATGGGCGCTTGCAGCTTGCCCAGAACCTTCACGCTAGGTGAAGAGACGGGAGGGGGTACGGTGCTCACAGCCTGGGAGGAAGCAGCTAGCCGGGGTTTATTGCAAGTGAGCCTGTTGCGGGGGAGCGAGACCAAGAGCCTGTCAGATCCACACCCCATCAGCGCTTGTGGCTGAGGCAAATACTCCCTTTCCTTCTCCCTTCTGTGCAGTTACACCAACCCCAGGACAGGCTCAACCTGTCTTCCCCCCTGCCCCTCCCAACAAGAACAAACAAGCGAGGTACAAACAAGAACAGAACATGCCAGCTGTGCCTTGGGCCGAGTATACGAAGCTGCTGGATGGATCAAGTCACTGGTAAATGCAGGCTCAGGGGCACCATTCACCCGGCCCCCTGTGGGAGCCTCTCCCCGTGCATGCGTGGGAGTGTGCGGGGATACTAACAGACCCTTTCGCTGCTCATCCCTTTGTAACAAACACCAGTGCAGCTTTCTGCAGCAATGGCCTCGAGTACCCTGGCATCTGCCTTTACTCATGTATCGGCTGGGAAGCAATGACCTCGGACCCTTTCCCAGATGATTTTTAACAATAGATTTGCACAAATTATAGGACTAGAGGAGTTGGAGGGGGAGGACGGAGCCGGGATCCACTTGCATCCATCAGAATTCCTCACCGGCAGGATTTTAGGAGCAGTGCAGTTTAGGTTAGTAAGCTTCTTGGGGCAGGGACCGTCTCTTTCTGGGTTTGTACAGCGCCTAGCACAATGGAGTCCTGCTTCACAACTAGGGTCCCTAGGCACTATGATCATACAAATAAAGAATGTCATAATTAGAAGAGTGGTGAGAAGAGACATATAATAGGGTTCCTGGCCCCCTGCACCCTTACACACACACACACACTGGCCACGTATACATTTGAGCGTACAAATTTTAGTACCCAGGCCTGTTAAGATGGGATAGTCCTGATCGGGCTCTGGGCAGGGACTGTGCAAAATGTCCCTGGTGTGGTGTTTAGTGAACCCTCCACACTTAAGGAGCTTGCAAGAGTTCTGCTTCATTCTGTGTCCAATTGCAATTGGCTGGTACCTGTAACAAAGAGCTTCCCGGAGCCCTGTGTCTGTGTCTGGGAAGCTCAGCCCTTAAAGGTCCTGTCTCCAATAGCACACTTTGCACAGCTCTGCCCAGAGCACCTCACACCTGCCCTGCCTTGCTCCTCCAATCTTAGACCTCCTTTGGTCAGAGACTGACGATCGTATGGCATTTTGCCAAGCACAGGGTAGTTTTGTGACAGGACAAAGAGAAGAAAGACCGCCAGCACATTTTTACTTGTGACCTAATCCATATTTGAACCCGGATTTTCTAGAAGTGAAGGGCAAATAAGTGCCTTGTTTTAAGTGCTACCATCCCCTTCTAATTCTTCCTCGTTCCTTAACTGCTGAATTAAGATCAGCATGTGTCTTTGGTGGAGAAGACATGCAATTGGTTCTAAAGACCTGCTCTTATCTGGGGCAAAGCGCCGGGCTTCCCTGTACTCTCCTCTGGAGTCCAAAGAATGAAGGAAATAGTTCAATGTTAACAAGCTGTGATACCAGATAACAAAAGGCCCAGGTGAAACTGAGCTAATCAGTCAACAACAGCTTCTGAGCCCAAAGGTTAGCACTGACGTCAGTCAGCCGGTGCGATTGTTTGCGGGTTCTCCTGTCTCTGCCCTGGAAATCAGCTGCTCTGCTGCTCATTAGGCAGTTGCACAAACACAAATCGTGATAACCACAGTCCTATGGGCTGGAACTCAAGAACCAACGTCCCTGCTATTCCAGCTCGGTGGGGACATGGGGGGGAACATCTGGCCTCCTGATCTTCTGTCCAGCCCTGCCACTTGGACAGAAGCAGTTTCTGACCAACTTTCAGCACTGGGACTGGGGTTTCTGCTCCCTTTGTGCCACATGAGACGTACAAAACCGCTGCAGAGGGCAGGGAATGAATGTAACATGGTTCATACCCAAGGGGAAGGACGCTGTGTGGGAGACATCAGAAAACAGCGTGTGTGTCTGATGTGACTAGTCCAGGGAGCGACATTATACATTAAGGAACAGAAATCGACATCAAAGGGCAGCGCCTTCAATCCTGGGGCACGTGCCCCCGCAGTGGGTGTGGGTGAAGCTAGCAAACTGTGCTGCTGGCTTGTACGTGTGCAGCCACAATATACATTACTGAACTGAACTCCACATCAAAGGGCAGCTCCTTGGACACTGGTGAGCACTGGAAACTAGCAAACCTTTTCTCTGGCGTTTGCTTGGGCATCCCTTGCACCAGGTGTTTGGTGGGCTAAGCAGGGCTGGGTTACAGATGACAAGGTCTTTTCAAAACAAAGGAAATGGTCGGTTGGACTCCGCATCCAGCCCCACGTCCAGGCTCACGTGAGCAAACACAGTTATGCACCAATATAACCCACTAAACGCCATTCCTAAGAAATGCCAGATCGTACAACTTCAGCAACACCCAAGCACGTGATAAATATGCAAATTAAACCTGCCGGCAGGTGGGGGATAGTCGCTTGCCCCTCTTCACACACAGGGGGCGCCGGAGCCCTTCTATTCCCTGCAGGTCTCCTAGTACCTGGGCTGACAGGTGCAAATGCTGGTCTGTGCCTGTGCGTTACCCTAACCCATGCAGGTTGTGCCCGCTGCAGCAGATAACTCTAGGCAAAGAAGGAAAAGGCACATTTCTCTCTTGTGCACCCTGGGCACTGCCCACCCCATTTTTACTTGCTAGTTATCAGGGGGCTGGAGTTTTCTTCACCAAGTCTTTTATTACCTGCCTTAGGAGGTGTTACTGGTGCCCATCACTCCCGTATCACGCGACCTTCTGCATAAAACAGAGTCGCACCCATGAGCCCACCTGGGCCAGATCCTCAGCTGGCGTCGATCAGCATAGCTCTGTTGAAGTCAGTGCAGTGCCGCCGATTAACCCCAGCTGAGGACCTGACCCTCCTGCGCTTGTCCCCTGGCGCATGCTATGGCTAAACGTAGCCAGCTGCAACCACACAGTGCAGAGCCCAGCACGGTCCACGCTGCCCATTTAGGTGCATTATTGGGTTTTACTCTGACTCATCTCGTCTCAACGCCTCTCGGGGCCCGGGCGCGGCGAGGGTCTGTCCTGGGGGCTCTGCCGCTCTGATTGGCCTTTTGTCTTTCTTGCAGCTGGTACTTCAGAGGAGTCAGTCGAAACGAGGCCCAGCAGCTCCTTCTCTCACCGCCCAATCAACACGGCTCCTTCCTCATCCGCGACAGCGAGAGTAACCGGGGGGAGTATTCTCTGTCAGGTAACCCCGAGCACTCCGCGGCGTCCAGCCCTGCGGTTCATTTCTGCCTTCGCGCCATAAATGGGGCTCAGCGCTGCCCGGGAGCAGAGGGTGGCACAGCTGGTGGGAAAGGGAAGGGAAGATGGTTGTGAGCTACCTTGCCACCTACCTCCATCCTGGGGCCGGCCAGAGGCCAAACTGACCCCGGCACAATTTAGATCAGCCTCAGGATGCTTCTTGGCAGAGTCAGTTTTATGTTCTCTCTCGGTCGCCCTTCTCTGGGCTGTGCCAGGTCCTGCTATAGATTCGGTAAGATGAGGGGAAAGGGAAGCGATCAGCATGTACCACATGCAAGTGGGAGAAGCCCCTGGGCCAAGGAACTTTCTGCCTGAGGACCCGGGCTCACCAAGATGCAGGGATGTGTTTAAAGCGGTTTATAGCGTCCTGTTAAGATGGATTCACTTCAGCTCTGAAAAGGGACAGAAAGCCACGCCAATGGCCATTGAGCGCCCTGCGTATCTATGCAAATATTGATCGCTGAATCATTGTGGGAAAGGAAAGTACAATGCTCTCATTCAGGGATATGAAAGCCATAAACAATTTACAGCTTCATAAGACAGCTTCATAGTCCTTAGCGGCAGGGTTTATTTCCAGTGGTTTGTTCTATTGTTCTGTGGATTATATAAAAAAAAAGAAATTCCCACTTCAAGCGATCAGGGCCTGATTCAGATCTGATTTACAGTGATGTAAATTCATAGATTTTAACACCAGAAGAGCCCATTTTAATCACTTAGTCTGACCTTTGGCATGACGCAAGATAAAGAACCTCACCCACTAATTTCTGCATCACGCCCATAAACTCTTGTTTGCAAATTAGCACACTGTGATATTCAGTCTTGACTTAGACTTCAAGTGATTGGAGATTGCACCATGTCCCTGGGTAAATTGTTCCAATGGTTAATTACCCTCACTGTTAAAAATTTACCTCTCCAGTCTGAATTTGTCTAGCACAGGGGTCGGCAACCTTTCAGAAGTGGTGTGCCGAGTCTTCATTTATTCACTCTAATGTAAGGTTTCGTGTGCCAGTGATACATTTGAACGTTTTTAGAAGGTCTCTTTCTAGAAGTCTATAATATAGAACTAAACTATTGTTGTATGTAAAGTAAATACAGTTTTTAAAATGTTTAAGAAGCTTCATTTAAAATTAAATTAAAATGCAGAGCCCCCCCCAGACTGGTGGCCAGGACCCGGGCAGTGTGAGTGCCACTGAAAATCACCTTGTCTGCCGCCTTTGGCACATGTGCCAGAGGTTGCCTACCCCTGGTCTAGCATTAGCTCTCAACCATTGGATCCCGTTGGCCTTGGTCTGCTAGATAAAGAGCTGTCTACTATCTAATCTCTGCCATATGTTAGTATTTAGAGACCATTTATAGACCAAGTCACCTGTTAACCACCTCTTGGGCAAACTGTCGATTGAGCTTTGTTAGTGTGGAAGTCAGTGTTGTTACACTGGTATAAATGAGAGCGGAACTGAGGCCAGAACCAGCAACGCTCAAGGGAGGGGACTAGGGCTGGTTGCATGGGTGACTGAACTCTGTTTCAATCTCCTTTGTTTTTTCCCTCACAGTCCGTAATCATGCTAAAGTCAGTCATTTCCGGATCTGTAAGGGGCCTGACGGAGGTCTGTACATACAAAAGGGACAACCTTTTCCCAGCATGGAGGAGCTGCTCACCTTTTACACAGTAAATTGGAAAGTTGTACAGAGCCCCTTGTTACAACCCTGCATCCCTAAGGTCTGTGTACACAACACTAGTGTCAATTAGTTTCTTTCACTCTTACCCTCATCTTAAACCTGATGCTCACCATTTGGTTGTTGGCCTGGGCCGTTCTCTGTCTTCATTATTTCATTTTAATCTTGTAACTTGTTCTGTGGTTGTGATAGGGTAGGGAGCGGGTGATTTTGGTTTGAGCATTGGCCTGCTAAACCCAGGGTTGTGAGTTCAATCCTTGAGAGGCCATTTAGGGAACTGGGGTAAAAATCTGTCTGTGGATTGGTCCTGCTTTGAGCAGGGGGTTGGACTAGATGACCTCCTGAGGTCCCTTCCAACCCTGATATTCTGTGATTCTATGATTTGCTGGGGGACATGCTGGCCATTAGAACAGAGGCATTCTGAAGGACAACGCAGGTGGTTTCGTATAGAACTGCTTGCATTTTGGGGGGGGGGGGCGCCAAAACAAAAATTAATCAGAAAACTGTAAAAATACTCCAGTGGGAGAAATGGGGCCAGAATGAAAAAAAATCAGTGTTCATTCTGTCAAAAGAAAAAAAATCAGTGAAAAAAAAATGTTGACAATGAAAAACGTTTTGTTCAGCATTTTTTCACAGAAATGTGTCCATAATTTTTTGAGCAGCTCAATTTTTGATGCTTTATTAAATGAAGAGTTTAAGTGTCCTTTTAATATAGCTGCCCTCTTATCCGTCCATCAGCCTCTTTGCTTTCAGGCTCTGCTGTTAATTATAAGGCTAAGGACTCTGTCTTGTTCTGGAGCTTTTATCTGGTTTCCCTTTCTTCAAGTTGAATTGCACAGGGCTTTCTCAAATGCTTACTCCATATTCAAGGCCAGCTCTAAGGTCATTGGTTCCAATTCGGAGTGAAAAAGAATTTGAGATGTAGGAATTTCCCCTGGAACAGAAACTCCAAGTTTCAACCAGCTCTACCGAGAAATTTAATTTTTCAGGGGACAGAGACCAGTTTCCTATATCTTCACTGAGCACCCTCTTCACATACAAATTAATATTAATGGTGCAGGTGGAATGGTCTCTCCCAGTGATCTGAGTGGCTGCTTCCCGCTGCATACCCTTTTCAGCAGTTTCTCTGCCTTCACGCTTCCTGCAAGACCTAACCGCCTCCTGAGAGAGGCCAGAGCCCTCCGTATCCCTTGAGGCTTTGTAGTTCCTGGTCCTAAAATGGTGACAGATTCCTGCAGTCTCAAAGTTCTGTTCTCATGGGCATTTCTGGCTCCCAAATGTGCCCAGTGCTCCAAAGGCAGCAGCCACTGCAAAGGATTCTGGGACACATCTGAGGGTCAAAAGTGCACATGGAGAATCAGGATGAAGAGGTGCTGTTTGGGACTGGCCTGGTTGCTGACTTCGGTTGCTTTCTCAGCCTATGCCCACGTCTGCCCTGGTTCATAATGCTGCCTCTACCTGACGGCGCAGGCCTGAAATGAAATGGTCTATGTGTCTATACGTTTAATACAGACCCCTCCGGTGAGAGATGCATGGGAACGGCCCCGTTCAGAATTCACCCTTGGGAGGAAACTGGGGGAAGGATACTTCGGAGAGGTGTGGGAAGGATTGTGGAAGAACATGGTGCCAGTTGCCATCAAAATCATAAAACAAGGTGCGTGGAGGGGAAGGCAGGGAACATTAACCATGCGCCACCTCGTCTTTCACTCACTGCCATGAAAGATCTCTCCAGTCCGTTTCATTTCCCCCTTGATCTCCGAACCTCTCATGTCAACAATCAGACTGAATAAACTAACTGTAGATAGGATCTCCTGCCTGGTGTAGTCGGGCAACCCTAGCTCATAAGGCTACTTGCCTGTAACACATCTGCACACACCCATTCGAAAATCCAGTCCGATCTACGCTGAGGTCTTTACAAAATGGCTTCCCACCCCCGCTCCCCGCAATCGCTCTGGAGGCCTCATGGTAAGACACTGCACTGTTGTGTGAAACAGGGGCTCTCAACCTTTCCAGACGACTGTCCCCCTTTCAGGAGTCTATTTGTCTTGCGTACCCTAAGTTTCACCTCACTTAACAACTCCTTGCTTACAAAATCAGCCATAAAAACACAAACGTGTCACAGTTCACTAGTACTGAACAATTGCTGACTTCTCATTTTTACCAGATAATTATCAAATAAATCAATTGGAATATAAACACTGTGCTTACATTTCAGTGTGTCGTATACAGAGCAGTATAAACAAGTCATTGTCTGTATGGAATTTTAGTTTGTACTGACTTCACCAGTGCTGTTTATGTAGCCTCTTGTAAAACTAGGCAAATATCTAGATGCATTGATGTACCCCCTGGGAGATCTCTGCATCCCCCCAGAGGTAGGCACTAGTGTGGAAGTCCCTGCTGCACTCAGTCAGCTACCTGAAAATGGCATCTCAATCCTAACGAGAACAGCCTCAATACATGTTACTGTTAACGAGCTGTGAGGGAATGGGGTGCGTGAGCGCCGAGGGGTGGGGCTGGGGCTGGAAAGCTCCCGCAGTCACGTGGAGAAAGCCAAGCTATGAATGGCAGGATGAACTTAGCGAGAAACTTACTCACCCCGGCAATGTCTCGGCTTCCTCCACAGCTGACATGAAGGCGGAAGATTTCACCAAAGAGATTCAGAATCTGAAGCGGCTGAAGCACGAGAGGTTGATCCAGCTCCATGCCGTCTGCTCTGTGGGCGAGCCCCTGTACATCGTCACCGAACTCATGAGGAAAGGCAACCTGCAGAGTTACCTCAGCAGTGAGTACCACCCTGCCCTTACTGCCTAGCGCCGCGTGGGGAGTCACCCGTGTGGCACTGCCGCTCTGGGCACTCGAGAGCACCGCGAAGGGACTGCAAGGCCCAACCGGGTGCCTCTGCCGTGCCCAAATTAAAACGGCAACAACGCACTAATGTCAAAAGAGGCAGCCCGCCAAGCTCTGCTTTCATTCACATTGGGGCGAAGGCAAGACAGCTCCATCCCAATCGATGGAGCAATTCCCGGGTACATTCTAATTCACCCTACGTCGGCCGGGGACAATTCGCCATTTTAAATTTTAAAGCTGTTATAGAAGCCCTCGCCCCTACCACCGGTAACCACGCAACAGGCCTCTTTGCAGAAAAGCCTCAGTCATCCTGAGCACCCAGATCTGAATGTAAGGCCTGGTCTTCGCGCCGTTTTTAGCACTGGTATAACTCCCTTGGCCAGGGGTGATTGTTTTACTGAAATAGATATACCAGACTACTACCTCGTGTGGGTTATAGCAGTATAATGCTGTCTTATTCCAGTACAGTTTATTCTCCTTCCTTTCGGGAGGGTGGAACTGCTCAAACTATACCAGCGTAGTGAAAGCGGTACAACTTGTGTATGTTGGCAAGGCATAGGCTTCCTCAAAGCTCCTGCCGGTTTGAACTCCTGCCCTCGCTTGCCCCCCCTCTCTAAGAAGAGCTGCTGTGGCGCGTTGAGACAGTCGCGCAATCCGAATGGCGTGCTGCTTCGTAGTTCACCGACGCCAAAGGCGGTTGTTTCACTGGGGGACTGGGAGAGGGAGTTTTCAGCTCCCCAGTCTGCTCGGCCACTCTGTTGGAAGCGAATTGCCAAAACTTGTGCATCTGAAACTGACAAAAGGGCAAGTCTCCTGTCACCATCTTGCTGAGTCAGCCGTGAAACGGCACCAAGAACATGCCTGTGGTGGTGTTCATTTCTCTCGTTCTTTTCTTTCACTCCCCCAACCAGGAAATAGTTGTTAGGGAAACAAGTCACACAGCTCCCAGCTGGGACCTGTTCTTTCCTAGGTAACGTCCTCCATTGACTAATGGGACCTCCTTTGGGGGTATGGGTCCAGCAGGGCTCATTATCCAAGGAGCAGCAACTCCCAAGTAGGATGGGTTCTGAAACACAACTCCCAGCCACGCGTTAGACTCTGTCGCTCCTACTCCTAACAGGGAACTACTTATGAGGACCATCTTCCTCACGGCAACAGAGCTCACAGGGGGCCAGCGCCTGCCAAGCTCTGAAACACGCACTTAATGTTACAGACGTGGAAGTCAAGGGGAACCTGCACGTGCTCAAAGTTAAGCGTGTGCGCTTTGCAGAGGTGGGGGCCGAATAACGAAGGCTACACACGTTCATGCTCTGGTATAGGAATGTGATATATGGAGATATACCTATCTCATAGAACTGGAAGGTCATCAAGTCCAGCCCCCTGCCTTCAGTAGCAGGACCAAGTACTGATTTTGCCCCAGATCTCTAAGTGGCCCCCTCAAGGATTGAACTCACAACGCTGGGTTTAGCAGGCCAGTGCTCAAACCACTGAGCTATCCCTCCCTCCATAACATGAGTGTTTATTTTGTCCGTTCCTAGCGGCGGGTCTCTTTCCCAACAAGGATGTACTGATTCCATAACATGCTCTATGAGGGTTTTAATGGATCAGCCTAAAACAGAAAGTGATTTTGGTCCTTCGATCCCTGGTTTAACAGGTCTGGAAGGGAGGGCTCTGAGCACGCTCCACCTGATCAGCATTGCTTGCCAGGTGGCCGACGGGATGACGTACCTTGAAGAACAGCACATCGTTCACAGGGACTTGGCCGCTAGGAACATCCTTGTGGGAGACAACCTCACCTGCAAAATCGCTGATTTTGGACTCGCCAGGCTCCTCAAGGTTGGTCTGCTGGAAACTGTTGGTCCTTTTGCCCTGCTTATTTCCACATTCCCTTCCCTGTCCCCAAGGGGCTCCCAGTTCACACTGGAACCTGCTAGGGTTCCCCCACCCTTGAGGCTTTTACAAGGTGGCACCATCCTACCAACTGGTTAAACCTAGAGTCAGCTGATTAACGGGCTGGGGGGGGGGGTTGCCTTTGAATGCCACAGAACAGACAACTCCACCTCTCCCCAAACACTGACTCTCCTACCTCTGCTCAGTCTCTGCCTGCCTAGAGGATGAGAAACTAGCGCCAGGGATCCAATCTTGGCTGTCCCGGGTTAACAATGCCCAGAGCTACAACTAGACCGAGGAACTGAAACATGGTCTCCATTTACATCGTGTGTGGCAGGACACAATTTGATATGTGCTCTGCTCGGCTGTCCCGGGTCTCTGCCAAATCCATGTCGCACTGTTGGGGGGAGAGAGCTGTAGGGCTAGTAAGGGTTACTTGAGATGGCAGTTTAGGCCTCTCCTGCCCCCGTGCCTTTGAGAGGGGGGATATTGTGTTTGTTTCCCCTGTGCTCATAGCCCATCTCCTGCTGCTTTTTAGGACGATATTTATTCCACCAGCGGCAGCACCAAAATCCCAGTGAAGTGGACAGCCCCAGAAGTAGCAAACTACCACACCTACTCGCTGAAGTCCGATGTTTGGTCCTATGGGATCCTGCTCTATGAAGTCTTCACGTACGGGCAGACCCCATATGAAGGTATGGAGCCCACCCTTCCCCCTCCTCTTTGTCCGGCCGTGCTGCCTTTCGGGGGTTACTGTGCCCCACTCTTTCCGGGAACGCCCTTCACGGGGCGTCTACGCAAGAAAAGCGCCTGTGGTCGCAACGCTCGGAGCCCAGGTCGACTGACTCGGGCTCGCACTGCGGGGCTAAGCGTAGATATTCGGGCTCGGGCTGGAGCCCGGGCTCTGAAACCTGGCGAAGGGGGAGAGTCTCGCAGCTCCGACCTGAGCCCTAATATCTCCCCAGCTATTTTCAGCCCCATGGCACAAGCCCTGCCAGTCCGAGTCAATTGCCCCAGACTGAGACTCGGTGCCACAGATTGGCTTGGTTTTTTGCAGTGTAGATGTACCCTCATTGTGCTCCCCTTACACAAGGCTGCTGTCCTCTGGCTCCCCACCTCACCGACACACAGCAGACCTCCCTGATGAAATGTGCTCCCCTCCCCTACCCCGCCATCCAGCCTTGCTGCAGGGAAAGGAGACTTTCACACAGTGCATGGAGTAGCTACTGCATGGCCAGGAGGCAGCCTTGAGAGTTGCTTGACCCAGGTTTCACTACACATGGGAGGTGCACTTGATGAGGAATCGAATGGTGATGGAGAAGCCGTTCCATACAGGCTGGCTAGACTCTTCACAGCCACCCTGAGCCATTTTGGGGGATAAACTCCACAACGTGATGGTGAATAGGGTCATTGGAGTTTCTTGTTTCCTTACAGGAATGACGAACCAAGAAACCATACAGCAAATCAGCATGGGCTACCGCCTTCCCCGGCCAAGCACTTGCCCTCCTGAGATCTATAGCGTCATGCTGGAGTGTTGGAAGGGTAACGCTGAGGAACGGCCCACCTTTCTCGCTCTGAGAGAGAAACTCTGCTCAATTTACAGACGGGTGCACAATTCGCTCTCCTGATGGAAATGGCCCTACACCCCACCCCCATGATTATTTGGGGTTCCATTCCCATGCCCAGCAAGTGTAGCAGCACTGCTGGGAGTATCCATTGTCTACCCGTGCACGACTTGCGTCCAGCGGGCATTCTTGTGTTGCACGTTTCAGATGAAGATAACACAAGGCCTTCTCCTTGGGAGGGACAGAAAACCGTGCTCCATTTTGGAGAAGTTTAGCCTCCTTGCTATGGTCTGGCTGCTACCTCCACAAGAGGACTATTCATTGTAGATGTGGTACAGCAAAGATGTCACCCTGGGTATAAGAAGTTCTTAATCTAAACAGCACAGCAGGATTTCACAAGCTACCTGCTGCATTGAAAGTGAAGTTTCCCGTTTACTTTGTGTGTGTAAACTATTGATGGCTATGAAGTTATTCACGACGTGTGTCTGATTTATTTATTGATCAATGCATGTAAACCCACCCAGTTTTCACAGCGCATGGGGACAATGTAACTCTTCAGTGTACTTGCTAATATCAGTGGCAGGATCAGACCTGGCCGGGTTGTAATTCACGGCAAGAAAAAGCCGTGTAAAGCCCTGCTTCCTCCTGGGGGTTTGGAGACATCCAGGCATCCCATATAAGGGCAGGATTTGAGTCTCAGATCTGCCTGGACTTTTTCCTCTATACCTGGAACTGCCAATTACTACTCCCCCCGTTCCCCACAATTTGGACCCACTCAGATATCATTGTATTCCTCTAACCATCATCCTCCCTGCCCCGTCCTGGTGTATATTATTAAGCTCTCATTTGTCTGTCACGTTCCTCATTTAGACTGTAAGCCCTGCAGCAGAGGAACCTGGCTTCTCGGTGTTCCCCAACTGTGAAACCATAAATCATCATCATCATTAATTCATACTCCAGGGAGAGCTGAGCCTAATCACCTTGTCTTTTAGCACCACTTAGTGGCTGCCTGAAGTATGACATTCTTTTTATTTGTTAATTGCAAATATTAACTGTACATTTTCTGCCTCTTTAAATACAAGTATTTTAACCAACTTTCTCTGTTTTTCTCATCAAAGTATTGGAGGAGGATCTGTGAAGCTATTGGAAGGTTCTCAAGAGAATCTAGGAAGGGCCCTCTTAAAAAATAAAAACACATCAACTGTGTGTATATCCATCTCTTACCATACTTCCTATCTTTCTTATGCATTGGGATAGTTTGCACTTGTGCCTTTAATAATGATGCTAAAACTGCCAAACATCTTGAACTCTTTTTTCCTTGACTTGCTTCCCATGGGATCGTACCTACCAATTCCCTGGGTTTGCTACACTCTGCCTTCTTGAAGTCCATTGTCATTGTCATTATTCTGCTGTTTTCCCTCTTAACATTCCTTTAGAATCAAAAACTCTATCAACTTCATGATCACTTTCATCCAAGCCTCAAATTCTCAACCATTTCCCCCCTATTTGTTAGGATCCAGTGTAGAACAGCCTCTCCCCTGGTTGCTTCCTCCACCTTCTGTAATAAAAAGTTGTCTACAATGCACTCGAAGAACTTGTTGGATAATCTGTGGCCCTGCTGTATTATTTTCCCAAAAGATGTCTGGGTAGCTGAAGTTTCCCATCACCACCAAGTGTTCTGCTTTGGATGATTTTGTTAGTTGTTTTAAAAAAGCCACATTCACTACTTCTTCCTGGTTAGGTGGTCTACAATAGACATCTCCCATGACATCAACCATGTTCTAACTCCATTTACCCATCCATAGCCTTGCAACAGGTCTGCCTCCCATTTCTATCTTGATCTCAGTAGGAAAGTTTATAGTAAGTATGGTAAGAGCCCACCATGGCTTAACTAGGCGATCGTCAACGACCTGAAACTCATACAAAAAGTGGAAACCAGGTCAAATTACTCAAGACGAATATAAAAAGACAACACCACCAGCATGTAGGGACAAAAATGAAAAGGCCAAGGCACACAATAAGCTAGGGATATAAAGGGTAACAAGAAAACATTTTACAAATACATTAGAAGCAAGAGGAAGACTAAGGCAGAATAGGGCCATTACTCAATGAGGAGGAAAAGACAATAACAGAAAATATAGCAATGACCAAAGCGTTAAATGCCTTTTTTGTTTCAGTTTTCACCAAAAAAAACCCTATCAGTGATTGGACCACTAACATAGTGAATATCAGTGTAAATGGGGTAGGATCTAAGGTTAAAATAGGGAAAGAACGTATTAAGAATTACTTAGACACGTTAGATGTCTTCAAGTGGGCAGGGCCAGACAAAATACATCCTACGAGACTTACAGTACTGGCTGAAGAATCTCTGATCCATTAGTGATTATCTCTGAGAACTCATGAAGAGCGAGAGAGGACTGAAAAAGGGCAAATATAGCCCCTATCTATAAAAAGGGGAATAAGGACAACCTGGGGAATTACAAATCAGTCAGTTTAACTTTGGTACCCAGAAAGATAATGGGAGCAAATCACCAAACACTTTGTAAGCACCTAGAAGATAATAAGGTGATTGTAACAGTCAACATGGATTTGTCAAGAACACATCATGTCAAAACGACTTAATATCCTTCTTTGGCAGGATAACAAGCCTTGTGAATGGAGGAAGCAGTAGCTGTGATATACCTCAACTTTAGAAAGGCTGTGGACACTGTCTCACATGACCATCTCATAAGCAAACCAAGGAAATATAGCCTAGACGAACCTCCTGTAAGATGGGTGCACAACTGGCTGGAAAACCGTACTCAAAGAGGAATTCTCAATGGTTCACAGTCCAGCTGGAAGGCCAAATCGATGGGGGTCCCGCAGGGACTTGTCTGGAGCCTGGTTCTCTTCAATATCTTCATATATGATTTGGCTAATGGGATAGAGAATACACGTATAACGTTTGTGGAGGATACCACCCTGGGAGGAGTTGCAAGCACTTTGCTTTGGAGGCCAGGATTAGAATTTTAAAATGACTTCCTTTTGCCTCCATTTCCCCTAATGCTAGACTGTGATCCATTGATATCTCCTCTCTGAGTATGATTTTCCAGCTAGTTGTGCACCCACATTATAGTAGGTTTGTCTAGGCTACATGTTGTGAGATCTACAGGTGAAAAGCCTTGTATGGACCCCGTCCAGCACAGGCAACAGGAAGTGTTCCATTGACTTCAATGAGAATTGGATCAGGCTCCATAAAAGGCACAGGGGAGTGGGATCCCTGAAAGTGGGACTGCACATACAGTTGAGTGGCTTTTATGGAGCCGTTATTACATACGGCACATAACGATGTAAGGCAATATGCTCCTGGCTTCTGTTTTGGGGCACACGAGAGACATTGACCATAGCTCCTTGCCCCAAAACAGAGGCTAGGATATTGCCTTTACACCCTTTTTAACATGCCTTTTTAACATGCCTGAAATACTCAGGCTGACGCAAGAATCGCCACTAACCCTCTAAAATTCCATTTCATTCCCTATTCCCCTCCCCTTTGCCTCTTTCCCCGTTTTCTCTCTCTTCCCTTCCTCCCTTTTTAACCTCCTTGACCCTCGTCTTTCTCTATAAATTCCTCTCCCTCTCTTCTCTCCTAGCATCTCTGTTTTCCCCCTTTCTCTCCCTTTCTCCTCTCCCATGTAGCAGTCTACAGCTGGGTGAAATTCACCCAGGGGACGGCTACACTCCAATCAGGGGGTGTGCTTGCAATCTAGCTAGCTTGGGGACCACTAGCAATGAAGCCATGACAACACGGCTAACCACCCAAATGATACCTCGGGTCCCAGGTGGGCTTGCAGAGCCCAGGATGAAGTCTGTCCTGCCACAGCGTCACTGCTATTCGTATGTGAGCTAGTTAAAGGTAGGCCTCGTATGTCTGCACATGCGTCAATCACCCCTCCCGATCGCAGTGCAGATTGTAGGTACCCTAAAGTGAAACCTCATCGTGTCACACATGCCCCTCCACCTCTGGCCTTTAGGTAGGCAGCCCTGCTTGCTTCACGGGGTTGGTGCCTTGCACCCACCTGAGACCGGGCAGCAATTCACTTGGCTTCCTTCTGGCCTTTTGTTGCCAAGAGAGGCGTGGCTTAAGGGCAGGGCAGCAATTTAGCTATAAAGAAGATGATGTGCAGAGGGCGTTATTGCAAAGTCTGCTCCTGACAGGTACCCTCTGACCTGCCTGCTATGAGATAAGTTGGCAGAATTACACAGACGCCTTTGGAAGGCAGCCGGAGACAAGCATTGCAGGGCTGCTCAACACAGCTCTTTAAAGAGCTCATGGCTGGAAAACGAGGAGAACCTTGTTGACTTTGGCTTTGCTGCGGGGAGACCGAACTCCTGCCATAATTCAGCTCCTCTACCCGGCAGCATGAATTCCAGGCTTGGAGCCAGTCCTCTGTACACCAGCCTCTGGGACTTTGAGGCCAGGACACTGACAGAAATCAGCTTCCGGGCAGGAGACCTCTTCCAGGTCATCAGGCAAGAAGGAGAATGGTGGTGGGCCAAGAAAGTCGATGGCTCGAACAGGATCCTAGCAGAAGGTTATGTTCCTTACAATTACTTAGCAGAGCAGGAGACAATGGAGGCAGAATCGTAAGTAAAACCCTGCTGGGGTCAGGAATCTTAACCACTGTTTAATGCTGGAAGATAAGAGGGCTTTGCATTTGGTAGCCAAATGGCAGTTTAGCCAAGCCAAGCAGTTTTGGGTGTCAGTCTCTGAGCTGATCCATAGATAGTGGCTTGTTTCTGTATAGGAAACTACAGCCCTTTTACAAAGGTTTGTGTTACAATGAAACACTGGGGCAGCATCCCACAAGGCAAGGCCAAAGAGAACCTGTGTCTGACACCCATATGCCCAGCGCTGGATGGCAAGGACAGCCTCTGGAAAGGGAAATAGGGAGGGCCAGATATCTAGGGCCTGAATATCGGCATGCTCTGGCTGCCTTCTTTGTGCCTTGCCAGTGACCCAGACCAGCCATAACCTCAGGTCAACAAGCTTCATTTATGGCTGTTTTGCCTCGCCAAGATGGTCCTGGGAAGCCTGGTCCCCTACTCTTTGGCTGTGAATCCCAGAGACAGTGAAGGTGTGTATGAAAAGCAGGTGGGAACGCCACTCCCACCAGTGACTGGCTGATGCTCTTTGTTAACCAGCTTCTGTAACTTAACTAACTTGTAAAGCGAACTCATCCATAGGGTTAATGGGGCCGATTAACCAGTGGCTAGTGCAGCCTGGACCCCTGTGATGAACTAGTGGGGTCCTGTGGAATATGATTAGCCAGCAGGTAAGCCAGCATGAGGAAGCTCTCCACCAGCAGCCACCCTGGTGCTAAACCTCATGGCATGAATTTATCCAGGGAGTTGGGATCTGGGTGCGCCACAAAGACAATGCAGCAACCCCAAAAGAAGTCATAGATGCAGAAAGAGACTGAACCTTCCTTAGCTTGAGGGATGTGTTGATGGAGCAGGGGGCAGAGTCCTATCCCCTGAAGCAGGTTCTTTGTGGCTGGGGGATGCAGAACAGCGACACACTGACGTCTCTAGCTGGCCATGGAGTTGTTACAATAGCACTAGCTAGGTTGATGCAGAGATCCCCGGGTGTGCTGACACTCTAGGGAGACTCCATCTCAGCACAGGTTTATTTTCTCTCCTCCTCCAGCTGGTTTTTTGGGCAGATCTCACGTTCCGAGACCTTACAGAGGCTGCTGTCGGAAAAGAACAAGACCGGGGCCTTTCTAATCCGAATCAGTGAGAAAAAAGATACTGACTACGTGCTTTCAGGTAAGTCTAACTATTTCTCTCCCTCCTTCTGACCCAACCTCTGTAACAAAACACCAGCCCTTTTGCTTAGACCTCTGAATATGGAATTTCCTTTTCTGGACTATTTAGCAACTTCACAGGAGCCAGCCGTACTAAAGACACTATCCATTTTTTTGAATTGGCTATCTGAAAGAAGAAGGTTCTTCCAATTTAGAGTGCCCTGGCATTCAATGGTATGTCTTGATTTCTTTTTTTAATTCCTTTGTAAGAAGTAAAGGTATTTTTTTCTGCTCCGCCTGCTGCTATTAATAAGGCATTTTCCTGTGAAATTGTTTAGCTTGTTAAGCCAGGGAATCGGTGAAACTGATCATAAACAAAGCTGTGTTAGATGCTGAAGATACCCCAATACCCCTTCCACCCACTTCTTTCATAGATGGTGATCTGGGTAGGTACAAACATTTTGGAGTTATGTGCTCAGCAGGCTGGCATGTCTCTTTAAGAAACCATCTGTGATCACTCTCCGTTCCATAGTACAGAAATCACATACTACTTCCCCTCCTCCATCCCAGATCAAACGCGTTGAAAGTTGTTCCTTTGAGCCAACTGCTCAGACAGCTGCTAGAAATGGGGATTCCGAGCCTCTCTGTTCCAGGAAGACAGCAGTAAAGTTTGCAGTCTGGCAGTTCCAGGGGTTAATCTCCTGCGGCTGCATCAAGTCTCAGGACAATACCTACCAGGAAACAGAGCAAAAATAACTCAGAGGTTTGCCAGTAATGAGTGATTTAAGTTAGTCAGGGCCTTAAATGTAAACATGTATTTAAACCTTAAAAAAAACAACACATAGTTCCAGCTGAAACCAGGGCTTGTGAGTTCCAGGAAGACTTGTTGGAGGGCATGTGTCTAACAGAGGTGTGCACGGAGTCCATGTGCAGCAGGGAACAAGGATCAGAAACACAAGATCAGAGGACACTGGATTCTTCTCTGCAAGCATTGGCAGTGTTTGAAGGGAATGGACTAAAATTCCTGACAGCATTGCTAGTCATCCCTGATACCCATTCTAGCTGGTTCCATATTTGGTTTATTTCAGTACTCAGAGTGAGCAAGGTGCTTTATAGACACTGTCTCCAGGGATTACAATCACCATTACACCTGTGCTGAGCACCCACAACTCTGCAGTCAATGAAAGCAACAGATTGTCCAGCACCTCTGACAGCCAGGTCTTAAGTTAAAGCAAATTGGTGATTTTAGTGAGAGATCACCACGTTCGATTCTGAAACCCAGGTGCAGGAGGTAGGCAGACCCTGTACAGATCCAAACCTTTCCCCCACCTGTGACAGGTGTGTGAGGAATGACTTCTTGCCTCCTGGCATGTTGTCAGTTACTGGAATGGGAAGGTAGCAGCACATTTAATGACTGCTTTGCATTGTGTGCTCCTCCCGCCTCTCCTCCTTGATTTCACAGTTCGGGATGACTCAATTGTGAGGCACTACAAGATCTGGCGGAACTCCCAGGGGAACCTCTACATGAACGCTGCGCTCTCCTTCCCAGATCTGCGCAGCCTGGTGGAGCATTACAAAGCGAAGAACCTCTCCCACGGCCTGAGACTGACAATTCCCTGCTGGAAGGTAAATCTGAACCAGCCAAGAACTGCCAGAATGATGCTTGTGGTGGGAGCGTTAGTTGGTGAGTGAGTCAGGATATGGAAGGACAAGTTTGATGTCTTCTTGCATGCAGGCCTGGAAGTCAGATGGGCTCAGTACAGGGGTGACTGGGTGAAATTTTATGGCCTGTGTTATATAGGAGGTCAGATGGGCTCGATCACAGGGTGAAATTCTCTGGTTTGTGTTCTACAGGAGATCTTAAAATCTATTAGTTAGACCAGGGGACTTGAAATCAGAAGACTTAAATGCTATTCCTGAATCTGTCACCGACTCTCTGACTTTGGGCACATCCTGAAACCTACCTGTGCCTCCGTTTCCCAATCTGTAACATGAGGAGAATAATACCCACTTTTGTAAAATCATTAGGAGGTAGATGTCTCATAAGCACCAAGGGCCAGATTTCAAAGGTATTTAAGTGCCTGGAGATGCAGATAAGTACATAGTAGCATTTTCAAGAGATGTTAAACAGGTTAAGCCCCTAACTCCCATTGAAATCAATAAAAGTTAGATGCCTAATCTGTTTAGGCATTTTTGAAAATCCCTCTAGGCACTTACCTGCATCTTCAAGTGAGTAAATATCTTTGCAAATCTGGCCCTGCATATTCGTATTGTTAGGTGATACATGAGTTGGCACACTTATAGCATGAGAGAGATACCATGGTCTAGATCGGGGCGGGCAAACTTTTTGGCCTGAGGGCCACATCGGGTTTCATAAATTGTATGGAGGGCCGGTTAGGGGAGGGGGTCGTGGGTCCTCCACCCCCGGGACCCCTGCCCTGTCCACACACCCCCGCTCCCTGTCTCCTGACCACCCCTGGACCCCCGCTGCCCCATCCAACCCCTCCTCTCATTCCTGATGGCCCCCCACAGAACCCCTGCCCCATCCAACCACCCCTTCCCCCTGTCCCCTGCCTGCGCCCTGGGACCCCTGCTCCCATTCAAGCCCCTGTTCTCCCTCCCCAATCACCATCCACACCCCCACCCCTGACCACCACCCCGAATTCCCCTGCCCTCTATCCAACCCCCCCCCCCCCCCCCCCGCTCCCTACCCCCTTACCATGCTGCCTGGA